CCCTTTTACACGCTCCAATACTGCAAGTACGCATAACATTGATCACCATGAATGCATCAACAAATTACTTCAAGGTCTCAAGGCATTATCGGACTGTGTCAACCGGTTCCTCCGAGACTATTATGGAGATTTATATATGAAATTGAGCAGGCTGTTATAGGGTCATGTGCGCTGAAGCTCTTTGGAGTTTTTTCAATAAAATTGAGCAGGCTGTCATAGGGTCATGTGCGCTGAAGCCCTTTGGAGTTTTTTCAATAATAGCTATTAATTTTAATACCACTAGTGACTATCATTGGGATGAGCATGACGAGGCAAATAGTTTATGTGTTTTAGTTGCACTAGAGGATTACAAAGGAGGAGAGTTATGTTTTCCTCAGCTCCAAATAGTCGTATATCTTAGGCCAGGACAAATCGTAGCATTTGCCTCACGTTTATTACTTCATGGTAATTTTTTAGTCACTAGAGGGATCCAGAATAGTGTTATTTATTTCGTACATGGTATATTTTTCTACCATTTACAGGATTTTACTAAAGCTTATATTAAGGCTGGAATTAAGAAAAGTGCTAATAGACTAATGGTTTCTGAGCAAGATCTCAATAATGCTCAGGGTTTGAACCACCGGACCCATCTCCCCAAACCGAAAGCAAAACAAATACAGGTCCCTTCCGCTGTATCTGATCGGAAACGAGGATATATAGGTATGAATTGTTTTATAATGCTACATTATATATAGACAAAAAACATAGTTATTAATAATCGATGTTTCTCTAGATTTAGCACGTGCTTGACAAGGGTTAAAAGTGGAAGATCTGCTTCCAGATTTATAGTAGTTATGTTTCATATATGATATTTGTACATGTGTCTTCTTTATTAAAGTGCGCTTAAGAAGTCTTATTTCCTTATCGCTATTTTCTATTTATATTTCTGCACTGCATTACTTAATATATTATTATAAGTAAATAACCAAAATCAATCGATACTACTATGCTTATATGATGAATAAGTACTATGGTGAGATCGATCATCAAAAATTCGGAAAAATTATTGCCAAGACATGATTTGTTGTACAAATATTTATGGAGATAAACCCACCCTTGAAGATGCAGAGCGCTGAACTACTGTATAATTAATATACAGCTCAAAACTAAATATAACGAACTATATAGGAGATTAATTAACATGCATGGAGCATAGTTCCCTACTTATATAAATCACTTTTCCCATATTTTTTAACTATAAATTTTATTGCTCTGACCTGCCTGAACATTGCATCTCTTTTTCTCGTTGGATTGTTTTTGTGTTGATAAGACGACTTCTATAGCTACTTGACACAAGTTTGCTTCGGCGAGTTGTGTGATTGAACATGCGCACAATCTTCTTGCTTCAACAGAGCAGAAGGCTCAGTGCTTTGGCGATGGCAGTTCATTTGTTCTGCAAAAATATGCAATCTAGCTGTCTTTTAATAATATAGTCTTCTTAGGGATAGTCATGCAAAAAATTTC